GCAATGATGCTCCCTGGGCCCTGCCGGTCGTCCCTCCTGCCATCCCTCTGCTGTTCTGCGGGCCGGCCCGGGCGCGGGGGGGGGGGGGGGGGGGGGGCGGGCAGCAGTGCCCTTCAGGACCACGTTCCCGGGCTGAGGTATGCAGGTGCCACGGCCCGCCCTCGCCCCTCTGGGCTGGGAGCCCCTTGGCGGGGCCTGTCACCACAGCCCGGCTCCAAGCCGGCCACGGGCGTCCGCGCTGCACCAGGCCAGCGGGCCCGCTCTCCCACCGGCTAGAAACACACGAGCGCGCAGGCCTGTCCTTCAGCAGACTCCGGCGGAGGCAGCACCAGATGAGACGCAGAGGCACTCAGGCCTGAGTTAAGTCTCGCAAAATCCCTCCTCCTCCCTCAGCGCGCCCCTCGTTTCCTAACTGCCTCAGAGCGGACAGAAAGACATCTCTGACGTAAAAACGCAGGACAAAGCCACGGTAATCAAAACAGGTGTACTACATAAACGGGCGGGCTGATGGGACAGAGGAGAGTTCTGTCTTCCCTGGGTGTCGACCTAAGAGAAAGGCGGTGCAGAAGAGACGGCTTGTTAGAAATGGATGACACGAGCAGCCACCTGTCGGGAATGAAAACTGGGTTTCCGGGCTCGTATTTTGTATCAAAACCAATGATAGATCAGTGAGCGAAATGTGAAAATGAAGCCCAAAAAGGTACTGGGAAATGCGGGAACATTTTTTAATGTAATCCTTGAGTGGGGAAGGGACACAAAACACAAGAGGCAGGAGAGGTCGGGAAGATGCGAGGCACACAAAATCCACCTGGCCGAACGGTGATCGCAGAATCGGCAGACGGCAAATACTCGAGGCTCATCACACTGAGCTACTTGTCTTTTTTTTTTTTTTTTACTTTTTTTTTTTAATGTTTATTTATTTTTGAGACAGAGACAGAGCATGAACAGGGGAGGGGCAGAGAGAGAGGGAGGCACAGGCTCCAAAGCAGGCTCCAGGCTCCGAGCTGTCAGCACAGAGCCCGACGCGGGGCTCGAACTCACGGACCGTGACATCATGACCTGAGCCGAAGTCGGACGCTTAACTGACTGAGCCACCCAGGCGCCCCTGAGCTACTTGTCTTAACTACCAAAGAGCTCCTACAACTCACACAAGTTAGTAAGTCAACAGGAAAACGAGCAAAGGATATGGACATCCGGCTCCCAGAAAAGGAGAAACGACCAGGACTTTGCCACAGGAGAAATGCCCAGTAGCTCACCCGCCCTAAGAGGCACATCAGCCAGAACTCCAAGGTGCCACTGCTCCACGGGGCAAGCACCCGGTGCCGCCACCGCTGAGCGCCCAGGGCTCCGGGAGTCCGCGTCTTCGCACGCTGCTGCCACTGGGAAAGCGAATGGAGTGGTCCCACGGCAACTAGCACAGTAGCAGCTGCACAACCACTGGGACTCCGCACTTGCGATCCCGGGGGCCCAGAGAGACACCTGTGGCTGTCGTGGATGCGTGTGTGCAAGCCGTGTGCTGGACCTCTGGGAACGGTCAAGGGCTAGGAAGGGCCTTCCTGCCCAAAGTCGGGACTGCTCATAATGCCACAGAACCCGAGGGAAAACGGCCAAAACTAACATTTTCAAGACTCTGGAAATTAACCAGAGACCTGGACCGATAGGCTGAGTCATGGTGGGAGGCTGGCGATTCCCAGTCCCTCTCCTGCTTTGCAGTGTGACCTTTAGACCCAGCAGCCTCACAGCCACAGCGGCTGTGGAAATCAGTCTGGCAGTCACTGGGAGGTGAAGACGAGGTGTGGAGCCCCCCGAAGCCCTCCCCTCACAGAACTGGCACCATTTGACCCGTCTGGCTGCTGCCTGGAAAAAATCCATTCGCCAGGCTGGTCTTTTTCTGGCCTGACTCAAGTGGCCGAGTGTGGGTTTGTTGCAAACAATCAGTGGCGCTGTTTAACGATGCGGCCGCCCGCAGAGGAAACATGCGCTTGGGCAAACGAGAGGCTGGCCAAAAAACCTCAGAAGACCTGAGGACTACCTAGCTCTCACCCCCGGCTGAACTCGAGGCCCTGTACAAGCAGGAAGTGTGAGTTCTCGGTGAGAACTGACTGGCTGAGCAAAGTGAGCCCCACATGCACACACAGCTTGTCTACAAAACCACAAGACTTCTTGGGTCAAAGCATTTAAGGAAGTCTCTGTTCAATCATTAGCTGATCACTAAGCTAACCACAGAGACTCCAGTGACCAAGCATAACAAAGAATACAGATTTACATAATTAGTCCAGAAAGGACATTAAACAAACAGCGACAACAAATTTAGGGGGGAGGGGGGAGGATCTGATTTCCAGAGTTGTCATGTTGTATTATCTAAAATGTCTAATTTTCAACAGAAAAATTATGACACATAAGGCATCGGGAAAGCGTGGCCCATACACAGGGACAGAAGCACTCAATGGAAACTGTCCCTGAATAAGCCCAGATGTGGAACTTATTAGACAAATGTTGTAAATCGGTTATTATAAATATGTTCAAAGAATTAAAGGAAGACACGTATAAAGAATGAAAATGAGGGGCGCCTGGGTGGCGCAGTCGGTTAAGCGTCCGACTTCAGCCAGGTCACGATCTCGCGGTTCGTGAGTTCGAGCCCCGCGTCAGGCTCTGGGCTGATGGCTCGGAGCCTGGAGCCTGTTTCCGATTCTGTGTCTCCCTCTCTCTCTGCCCCTCCCCCGTTCGTGCTCTGTCTCTCTCTGTCCCCAAAATAAATAAAAACGTTGAAAAAAAAATTAAAAAAAAAAAAAGAAAGAATGAAAATGAGAATGGCATTTCACCAAATAGAGAATATTGCTAAAAAGAAAGACATTATAGAAAAAAAACCAAATAGAAATTCTGGGCTCAGAAAGTATAGGTGAAATGAAAAATTCATTAGAGCAACTAAACATTAGATTTTTGTTGGAAAAAGAATCTGTGATCTTGAAAACAGATCAATAGGTTCATTCTGAGGAGCAGAAAAAAGAATGAAGAAAAATGAACAGGGCCTCAGGGACCAGAGAGACATCATCAACCAGCTGACATACACATAATGGGAGTCCAATGACAGGCGAGAGAGAAAGAGGCAGGAGAAGAAAAAATGGCCCCACACCTCCCAAATTTGATGAAAAACCACCTCTAAATCCAGGAAGCTCAACAAATCTCAAAGACGACACAAGCAAAGACACACAATCAAACTGTCAAAAGTCAACGACAAGGAGTACCTGGGAAGCAACAGGGAGAAGCCCCAACCTGTTGTGTACATGGCATCTTCTAGAAGGTGAACACTGGCTTCTTGTGAGAAACCATGGGTGCCAGAAGGCAGTGAGATGACACAGTCAAAGTGTAAGAAGAGAAAGACTATTACCAAGATTTCAAAATCTGGCAAAGCCATTCGTCAAAAGCGAAGAAGAAAACATTCCAGATAAACAAGAATGGGGAGAATTCACTGCTAGCAGACCTTCTCCTACAGGAAACAACTGCAGGGAGCCCTTCAGGCTAAAGTGAGAGACACTAGTCAAATCCACAAGAAGAAACACAGAGTGCCGGTAAAGGCAACCACGCAGCCAAAGAGCAGACAGAATAAATGTATTTTTGATTGTAAACGTTTTCTTTTCCCATCTGAGTCAAAAGAGCTGCATAAAGCAATAATCACAAAACTATGTTGACGGGCTCACAATCTATTAACACGTAATCTGTACGACAAAAAATGGCACAAAGAAGCTGGGAGGGAACAGACTTATGTTAGAGCAAATGCTCCTGAAATTAAGTTGGTATGAGTCCAAACTAGACCATATTCAGTCGTTCACTCTGAAGGCTCCAGAGCAACCACTAAAAAATTGCCCCCAAGACAAAAACAAACACCCAGTGAAAGGCACAGGGGGATTAAGTGAACGTCCATCCAACATACAAGAGAAGGACAATGGGGAAGAGAGATAAAGAGACGTGTAGAAAAGCTGAAAGGTGACAGATGTAAATCTTTCCTATCGTAATTACATTAAAGGTAAATGGAGTAAACTGCACTATAAGTGCAGAGATCGGCAGAACAAATGAAAAGCCACAATTAGCTACATGCCACCTATAAGGAGCACGTTAGAATCAGATAAAGATGTACCACGCAAACAACAACCAGAAGGCGTGCTGATATCACACAAAAAGAGACTTAGAGACAAAAGCTGTTAGAGACAGAGAAGGCTGTGTTACAAAAGGGTCAGTATATCAGGAAGAAATAATAGTATAAACATATATGCACTTAACAATAGAGCCCCAAAACACATGAAGCAAAACCAACAGAAATGAAAGGAGAAACGACTGGACAGGAACGGCTGGAGACCGCAATCCCCCACTTTCAATAGTGGGTAGAACAACTGGGCTGAAGGCCAACAAGGAGAGAGAGGAGGTAAGTAACACTACGAACCAACTCAACCTAACATGTGTCTACACGACACCCAACAACAGAATAGTTTCTCAAGTGCATGTGGAACATTCTCCAGGGTAGCGCATACACAAAATAAGTCTTAAAGGACTGAAACCATACATGATGTGTTCTTTGGCTACGTGGGATGAAATCAGAAATTAAGTAACAGAAAAACATTGGGAAATTAACAAGTATGTGGAAATTAAACCAACTCTTAAATCACAAGAAAAATGAGAAAATACTTGAAGATAAAGATGAGGCAGAGCACACACAACTTACACGATGAAGCTAAAGCAGCACCTAGATGGAAACTTCCAGATGTAGACACCTAATGAAAAAGAAGCTAGACCTCAAATCAGTAAGCTAATCACCTATCTTCAATAACTAGAGAGAAAACTAAGCCCAAAGCAACCCGAAATAACTAATAGAGTAGAAAATAATGAAACAATGAAAAAATAAGAAAAAAAATCAACAAAACCAAAATCTGGGTTTTGAACAGATAGTAAAATTGGTAAGCCTTTAGCTAGACTGGCCAAGAAAATTTGAGAGAGAGAGAGGACAATTTTCTAAAATCAGGAATGAAAGAATAGATGTTACCACCACACTTACAGAAATAAAAAAGGCTGTAAAGGAATAGTATGAACCACTGAGATCAACAAATTACAATAAAAAACGTATGTGAAGGGGCGCCTGGGTGGCGCAGTCGGTTAAGCGTCCGACTTCAGCCAGGTCACGATCTCGCGGTCCGTGAGTTCGAGCCCCGCGTCGGGCTCTGGGCTGATGGCTCAGAGCCTGGAGCCTGTTTCCGATTCTGTGTCTCCCTCTCTCTCTGCCCCTCCCCCGTTCGTGCTCTGTCTCTCTCTGTCCCAAAAATAAATAAACGTTGAAAAAAAAAAAAAAGTATGTGAAATGGACACATGCCTACAAATACAGAAGCTACTAAAACTGGGGAGCCTGGGTGGCTCAGTCGGTTAAGCGTCTGCCTTTGGTTCAGGTCATGATCTCACAGTTCCTGGGTTCGAGCCCCGCGTCGGGCTCTGTGCTGAAAGCTCAGGGCCTGGACTTGCTTCAGATTCTGTCTCTCCCTCTCTCTGCCCCTCCCCTGCTCATGCTGTGTCTCTCGCTGTCTCTCAAAAATAAACGTTAAAGAAAAAAAAAAAAGCTACTGAAACTGACTCAAGGAAGAACAGAAAATCTAAACAGATCTATAATAAATGAAGTGATCAGTTAATTAAGAAAAAACAACTTCTCACAAGGAAAAGTCCAGGACCAAATGACTTTACGGGCGAATTCTACCAAATGCTTAACGAATTAACACAAATCTTCCATAAATTGTTCCCAAAAAAGCAGGAGAGGAAGGAACACTTCCCAATTCAACCTATGAGGCCAGTAGTACTCTGGTACGAAAGCCAGACAAAGACAACACAAGAAGAAATACACACTGATATCTCTTATGAATACAGACACAAAAGTCCTTAACAAAGTACTAGCACACTAGGTCAATGGAATCACAGAATACTAGCAAACCAAATGCAGCAATATATAAAAAGAATTATCACGACCAAGTGGGATTTATCCCATGAAAGCCAAGAGTGGTTCAACGTACAAAAACCAATTAACATAATAAACCGTATCATCAGAATAAAGGACAAAAGCCACATGATCGTTTCAGTAGAGACAGATGGATGGACATCGCACAGATGCAACGTTTTCTCAAGACAAAAACACCGGACAGAGTAGAATTAGAAGGTCACTTTCTCAGCCTGGCAAAAACCATCTTCAAAAGCCCACAGCCCACACCGTACCATGGGGTGAGACTCTGAAAACTTCCTCCCCAAGCCCAGGAACAAGGTGAGGATGTCCACTGTCACCACTGCTACTTGACACTGTACTCGAGGCTTCTACTTTGCCAAAGCAGTTAGGCAAAAGAAAAAAACGAAAGCATCCAAACTGAAAAGGAAGCATTTTGTTTGCAGATGATGTGACTGTGTGTTGAGAAAATCCTAAGAAATCTGCACGCACGTGCTATTGGAATTAACCGAGTTGAGCAAAGTTTCAGGCTACAAAACCATACAAAATTCAGTTGAGTTTCTACAAATTGAGAACAATCTAAAATGAAATTCAGAAAAAGTTACATTTGCAACAGCATTAAAAAGAATAAAATACTTGAGAACACATTTAACAAAATGAGTGCAAAATGTGGACACTGACAAAACGTTGCTAAAAGAAGCTGGGGAAGAGCCTAACGATCATGAGACCCCGAGTGCATAAGCCACACGGCTAGGTATTAAGTATAGTGACCCCTAGATCCAACAAAACCTCTGTCAAAATCTCAGCTGCCTTTTTTTTTTTTTTTTTTTTTTTGGATGGAAGAAACTAACAAGCTGATCCTAAAACTCATTTGGAAATGCAAGGGACCCAGGCCAGCCAAACAGCCTTGAAAAAGAACAAAGCTGGAGGGAGGACTCACTTTCAGGTTTCAAAACTTACCACCAAGCTACATTAATCAAGACACTGAAGCACTGGCATAAGGACATATAGGTCAGTGGAACAGAACTGAGAATCCGGAAATAAATTCATACATTTATGGCCAATCGACAATCAGCAAAGGTGTTAAGATAATTCAGTGGGTCAGAAAGAATAATCTTCTCCACACACAAAAGGACAAAGTTGGGCCCCTACCTCACGCCCATATACAAAACTAACTCAAAACAAAACTGACCTGAATTTAAGAGCTAACCCGATAAGGACACTTAGAAGAAAACATAGGGGTATATCATGACCTTGGATCAGACCATGCTGCTTAGACAGCACACCAGAAGCACAAGAAACAAAAGAAAAAACAGATCCTGGATGTTATCAAAAGTAACAACTTAGTGCTTCTAAGGGCACTATTGAGGAAGTGAGACAGAATGGGAGAAGGTATTGGCACACGATATAAGGATCTGGCATCCAGAATAGATAAAGAATTTTTACAACTCAAAACAAACCATCCGACTGAAAATGGTCAAAGGATCTGAACGGATATTTCTATGGCCAACAAACACACGAAAAAATGATACCACTGGTCACTAGGAAAATACAGACTAAAATACAAATCAAGACACCACTTTACGCCAATTACAGATAATAACAAGCGTGGACAAGCGCAGACAAGAAATTGGAACCTTCACGCGCTGCGGTGGGAATGTAAGTAAAATGGTTCGGCGGCTTTGGAACAGTTCAGCAGTTCATCCAAAAGTCAGACAGAGTCGCCATATGACCCGGCAATTCCGTTTCTAGGTGTAAACCCAAAAGAAATGAAAATACACGTCCACACAAAAACCTGTACACAAACGTTCACGGAAGCATTATTCGTAACAGACAAGCGATGTGGAACGACCCACATGTCCGTGACGAACAGATAAACGGGTGTGGCATCCACTCAATGGGTATCATCACTAGGCCACAAAAGGGGCTGGAGTTCTGGCATATTCTATCACACGGAACAACCCTGGAGACACGGGGCTAAGCGGACGACGCCGGACGCGAGGGGCATTCACGTGAAACGTCCAGAAAGGGCGCAAACCCGCAGACAAATCCAGAGGTGCTGCACACGCCTGCCCACGGGGACAGGGCTTCTTCTGCGGTGATGCAAAGTTCTGGAATCAGGTGGTGTGGGTCGCACAACACCGTCAACACACTTAATGACACTAAGTTATACGTTCTGAAAGGGTGAATGCTATGGTATGTGGGTTCTGTCTCAGGAACGCGGTCCTTGGAAGAACAAGAGCAGTGAGGTAGTTGTGGGCATTCTAACGCAGAACCACCACCCCACACGTGTGCGTTGGAGGCACAAGGCACAGCGCCCTGAGCGGTTCACTTCTGGTGTGTTCGTCTTAGAAACGGTGTGCGCGTAGAAGTGTGGGTTTCCTGGAGCCCCTCCGAGCGATCGCCGCCCAGGGAAGGGGCCAGGGGTCACACGTGGCCCATCGACTCTGAGCCACGTTGTAAGATGTACAGGCTTTGTAAGAGGCCCCACTGAGACACAGCTGCCCGTGTGTCCTCCAGGCTCTCGGGCCAGACGGGAGCCCAGAGGACAGTGGCACCCCCGCGGGAGGGACAGTCCACGGCTCTGGGGCACTTTAATTAGAATACGCGCTAACTCCTCCCACGAAGCACACACAGGAACGGTGGCTGTGGTGGCGACCCGGTCCCGTGCCCGCTCGCCCGTCCTCGAGCGCTGGCACAGGGCGAAGAGGAGCTGCGGCCAGAGGGGACCACACACGCCCAGTCTGGCCCTCTAATTCAGCGCATAGTTAAACTGGTTTGCAAACTTCTCGTGTTTCTTGCGGTCCATCTGGTTCATGGCCGTGACGACCCTCTGCACGGCTGCCCTGTGGGGAAAGCAAAGCGGGGCGTGATCAGGGAGCCCCGGCTAGGGCTCTGGGCTCCGACTGTGGTCTGGCTGGGCTGAGGCACCGGTCCCAGGTGGCTGCCACACTCCGGCCACCCAGGTTCCCTGCAGCTCAGAAGCAGCTGGGCCCTACCCGCGCAGAGCCCAACGACGACCTTGGCACCACCCCTGTGGGCTCCCTGAACCCCCAGAGCACCTCCCGGGATCCCGAATCTCGCCAGAGCCAGGCTGCACCCCAGAACCAAGTGCCAGAACCCATTGCCAGACCCAGCCCCCGCCGAGCCTGCTTTCCCCCCCCCCCCGCCCCGAGCCCCCTCCCCGCCCAGCCAGCCCCCACCTCAGGTGGGGCCGCAGGAGAACACCACAAACGTGCGGCAGGAAGACGCGGAGTGGCGGATGGGGCGCATCTCGCTGCCCAGCCTGGCTGCTGTGAGGCCGAGGGCCTGTGCCCGGTGCCCACGTGACTTTTGGGCGCGGCCCCAGGGGCGCTGCCACCCCGGCCCTCCAGCAAGATGAGCTCTAGGCCACCAAGCTGCTGCAAGGAGCCAGCCCGAAGGCTCTCCTGAGCATGGTGGGAGGGTGCCGGGCACAGAGGCCCCTTGGCCGGCACTCCTCTGGGCATCAGCACCCAGGGTGCCCTTTACCCTCGGCTGATCCACCAGAAGCCAGCTTCGTGCCCGGAGGCTGGGGGCCAAGCCCTCCTCAGGATGCCGACTCCTACGACACGCCAGCAGTGAGGAGGTCCTGCACCACCCCCCCCGCCCCCCGCCCCGCGGGGCTCCGTGCAGGCGCCGAGGAAGCCGTCCTCTCCCGTCCCCTCAAGCCAAGTACACGGCGATGCTGGCCAGGAGAGTAAGAAGGGCCTCCCTTGCCCAGGACACTGAGCCAAATGCCCTCCAGAGTCTACTGGAGGAGGCTGCCCTGCAGGCACGGTCTGAGGCGCCTGTTAAGACCTGTGCCTAAATCTGACCCAGGAAGTGATGGCCTCACAGGCTTCCTGAACAAGACCCCAATTCCTTCCGGCAGCACCTCGTATAAGCAAGGTGGCTCCGGCGAGCCACAGTGGCGAGCAGGCAATGAGAGTGCTGGCTCGAGGCCCTGACCCACTTCCCTGTGGCACCGGCCAAGTGCTGGGGCGGAGACCTGGGTGGCAGGTTCCACCGGCCTTGGGAGCGACTCCCCTGCCCACAGTCCCTAGGTGGACGTCCCTGGGCACTGACCTCGAGAGAGCCCAGCCCGGGCCAGCGCCCGGCCCTTCTAGGTCAGCTGGGCAAGGAGACACAGGGCCGGCTCTGTGCCAGCAGCCCCCGCTGAGGCCTCAGCCCCTCACTGGGAAATGAGGATGTGCTGGCCGGCCGGTGCGCGAAGCCCCACCCCTAGGGGAACCGCTAACCGGTGACCCTCGGGGTGACCGGCTCCAGGCCCTGCCCCTGCTGGCTAGGAGCACCTGGCCCACCCAGGGGCCTGGTGGTCAGCGGGAGAAACGTGTGGTAGAGCGGAGTCGGGGCCCCAGGCTTGCCAGGGTCTTGGAGTCCAGTCACCCCCCCCCCCCGGCACCCCCAGACGCAGGGGGTGGGGGGCAAGGAGGCCGCCAGAAGCTCTTACTTAGCAAACACCTTCTTCGCGATGCGCGCACGGGCAGTGTCGGCCTGCTGCTTCAGGTCGGTGAGGCCACTGCGTCTCCTCCTCTTTCCTCTGCCTCTCCCGCTGGACCCAGACGAGCCAAGGTCTACTCCCGTGGCGGCCTCCACGTCTCTCATAAAGTCGGGGTCCTGCCACTCTGCAAAGAGGCCTCGAGATTTAGGAGAACTCCCGACACTAACCCGAGCGTCCCTACTCAAGTCCCGATCCCTCCCCGCCGTAGGGGCCGGCTCGGCTGGGGATAGCGGGGCGGGGGGCAAGGCAGACCCTCCCCCCGCCACCGTCCTGTGCCCCGCAGGCCCCTGTGCCCACAGAGGCCAGGAAGGGGCCGGGACAGGACCCAGCAGCCTCTCCCGGTGCATCCACTGACCCCTCAGGCAGGAAGGCAGCTGAGGCTGGTGGCTGGGGGACAGTGCCATCTGCAGGCTGCTTCCCAGCCTCCAGCTGGACTGTGCCCCGCCAGGCGCCCAAATATGGCTGCCAGGCCCGTCTGCTGGCTGGTGGGCACGTGCAGCAGCGGTGGCCACAGCCAAGGGGTCAGCGCGAGCACAGCCTTCTTTCTTTTCGGTCCAAAAAGAACCAGACGCGGGCTTTAGCAACGCGGGGGTCAGTTCACCCAGACAGCTCTGAGTTTCCTGCCACGTGCCTTCTGCCACGGCCCCGCCACACCACGCGGTGGGGGACAGCGCTCCGAGGGGAAACACGCGTCGCCCGGTCCCAGAGCCCAGCCTCACCAGCCCCGAGCTGCACCGAGGCCAGGTCGGCGCGCTCACCTGCCAGAAGCGAGGGGAGCTTTTGCTGTCCGATGGTGGGGCTCCGGGCCTCGGCTTCCAAAGGCCCGGCTGCCGCCCACCTCAGTCTCGGCTCCCCGGTCCCAGTGGGGGCTGCTCTGCCTATGCCGGCCGTCCCAGGAAGGCCATCCCGGGCAGGAGCGGGACGGCACAGTGTCCCTCCTGTGCCCAGACCTGTGGCCGCCGACCCTGGCCCGCAGGAGGGTGCCGGACGCCCTGCCCACAGAGCCGACGGGAACCCCGGGGCCCGGGGTCAGAGGGCTGGGCTGTGCGCCCCAGACAGACAGATGGCCAGGCCTCCCCAAGTTGATTTTTTGAAGTGAAGGAATACAGGGCCGCACAACTCAGGCCCAGGAACGATTAATCCGAGATTAAGGAAAAGCGTCTAAACAGTTTATCTCCCGTAATAAGAAGGCGCCACAGTTTAGGAGCCCGGTGAACGGAGCAATTGTTTAAACACAACAGAAAATGCCAGCGCCCGGTGGAGATGGAATGAGCATCTCAGTAAAATGAAGGACCAATTTAACAGCCTTTGAAGAAAATCAATAGAAGCCGGGGCCGCGCGGCCTTCCTGTGCGCTGACGGGCCCTGGAGCTCGGCGCGCATTGTCACCAAGGTTAGCGCCAGGGAAGAGAAAATTGCCCCGCGTGCGAGGGAGGCGGGGATCGATACTGTAGTTAGTGAAGAGATGCTATTTCACATCTGACTGGCCAGCGCCGGCCCGCGGCCGCAGCCCCGATACCTGTTGTTAACAAGTCGCCGAGGGCTGGAGAACCACCCGCTCTTCGGGGCTGACACAAAAAATAGGCACTTAATTTGCTCCTGAGTGTGAGCCACCAGGGAAGGCCTCACCCTGCGGATTAGCAGGTCAGGGGCCCCTCCCCGCCGCCATCCACTGCCCCGGGTGTCAGCCTGAAATCTAACATCTGTCAAAGGGAGAAACCCCACTAGCGACGACAAACACAGCCCGGCTGGGACCCTCACGCGCAGGCCAGCGCTGCCCCCCACGCACGCGGCCGCCTGCCCTTCGTCGGGGCTCTGGGTCTGCGACAGGGCTTTCTCAGGTGAGCGAGAGCCCCAGGCAGTCCCGGAGCCTCCAGACAACTGGCCCGGGCTGGACAAACCACGGAGACACGGAGACAGATCGGGGGCCCGGTGAGCGTGCCCGCGCGCTGCCCCGTGACGGCCACTTCTGGTGACGCCCCCTGGCCCTGCTCCTCAGGGGTCCTGGGAAGCCGGGAGGCAGCCGGCACATGGCACGCGCCCAGCACAGGGCGTGGACACCCGTACTGGGATGAGACAAGTTCCCTGGGTTGTCCTGAAAACAGTGCTTATGTGGCTCAAGTCCACCGTCCTGTCTGAATCTAGCCTACGGGACAGGACCCTGAGATGGCCTCTGTGGAGACCTAGCCTCCCGAGGCCTGAGGCCTCAGGACCCGCCCGGGACCCACTGGCTCCTGCGCGGACGGGCACAGACACACGCGCCTGCACGTGCCTGCAGCTCGCCCTGCTGCAGAGAGCGAGCCGGTCGTGCGGGGTGGCAGGGGGCACAAGGTCTGCACGGGGGACACGTGGGCAAGTGCGTCTGCCTGGCGGGAAGCCAACTGCTCTCCTCCCTGGAGCCCGGGCTTCGGCCAATTGACTCTTCTTGCCTCCATTTCTTCACCTCCTTAACACTGATCCAGGGGCGCCTGCGTGGCTCAGTCGGTTAAGCGTCCGACTTCGGCTCAGGTCACGATCTCACGGTCCGTGAGTTTGAGCCCTGCGTCCGGCTCCGGGCTGACGGCTCGGAGCCTGGAGCCTGCTTCGGATTCTGTGTCTCCCTCTGTCTGCCCCTCGGCTGCCTGCACTCTCTCTCACGTTGTCTCAAAAATAAATAAACGTTAAAAAAAATAAAAAAACAAACAAAACAAAAAAACTGATTCAGAGCCCAGAAGCCGAACAACCAACCAGCCAACAACGCGGCCTTCTCGGGCCGTGAGCGCATCCACGTCTCCAGGTGGCGGCTGTGCGAAAGCACCACCCCGCTGTGTCCCAGTTGCGCTGCCGTGAGCCGGGACCACGCTGGTGGCAGGTGGCCACAAAGACCCCACGGGGAGGGTCCCGGCCGTCCCCACACAGCCCCCAGACCTACCCGGGCGTCCCGCCTGCTGCTGCTGCTGCTGCTGCTGCAGCCGCCTCTGCTCCCAGGCCCGGTCCTCCGGGCGGAGGGGCCGCCCCGCGTCATCTCTCGGGACGATCTTCCCGTGGAAAGGACACTGTGGCAGAGAACAGAGCAGTTCGGATGGCAGGACAGGAATGCCCCTTCCTTCGCACACCCCGAAAAGGAGGGGCTCTTGGGGTACGTCTGTGAAGGCGGGTGGGCCGAGGGAGCGGGGAGGCTGGGGCCCACGGCAGTCACGCGCCCGCCGCCCGCCCGGCGTGTTCCGTACGGAGTGGGCTCAGGAGGTGCGGTGTTAAGCAAGCGAGGGCGCCGGAAAAAGTGCGGAGCGCCCCAGCTCCCAACCCCGGCACAAGTCCCCGCCTGAGCGACGCGTGACAGCCACAGGCAAGCCCTCCCTGGGGCGGCAGCGGCCAGCAGAGGCAGTGGGAGGCTGGAGCCTGGAGCCGCGCACTGCCACCCCGCCCCCTCCCCCCGCCCCGCCCTGCCCTGCCCCTCGCGGCCTCAGCCCCTGCCTCGCCTTCAGCCGGTCCTGGCGCTCGCAGAGCCGGCCATCGGGCCTCGGGGCGCGGCAGCGGTGCCGCACGGGCTCAAACTTCCCCGCGAAGGTGATGTAGCGGCTCCGGAGCATCTCTGAGACGTTGGCGTTGTCCACTTCCACGTGCGCTTCACTGGGCTTCCAGAAGCGGTGCTCAGAGGGACACCTGCAACCCCAGACTCTCAGCGCTGCCGCAGGGAGGCCGTCGGCCGGCCCGGCCGGCGAGGCCTGGGCCGGGCAGGCTGGGGAGGGCACGCCGCAGAGACCCCGGGACCCGACCGCAGGTGCCACAAGGTGAACGCCAGCAGCCCGGCAGAACAGAGACCTCAGGGGCGATCCCGGGCCCGGCAGGAGTGGGACTCGCCCGGGGGACACGCAGATGGAAGTCGCGCCCCTTCCCGTCGGCGGCCCCCAGAGGGAAAGTGAAGGCCAGCACAGCCAGGGGGCAGCTTCCCAGAAATTCCTGGCAGAACCCCAGGCCTGGCCCGTGGGGGGCCGTCTGAGAGCACCGGGCGAGGGGCGGGTGGGGCGGCCGTGACGGGGGCTGGGGTGCAGAAGCACTGAGGGAGCGCGAGGGGTCACAAAGGGCCCGGCAGCCCGTCCTTCGTTCCCGGGGTGATGCCAGACCACGCAGGACGGCGAGCGACGGGGCACCTCAGACAGAGTGCAGACGCACACTGCACACGGTTCCACGGCCGCCACACACCCGTGCCATGTGGTGGCCGTCCCCACGCCCTGCTGGCATCCGCAGGGGCTGCGGGGCAAGGGAGCGAGAGTCGCGGCCGGCGAGGGCGGTGGGGTGGGTGCCTGCAGGAGCCAGACGCACACACACTCACTCACTTGAAGATCTTCCCGGCCGGCGGCTGCTCCTGGCCCCAGTAGCACAGATCCACCCCAAAGGGCACGACAGGCGCCCGGGCCCTCTCTGCGGCCAGCTTCCCAGCCTCCTCTGGTCCCACAGGTGCCCTGGAGAGGCCCCGAGAACAGGACACACCGACTGTGCACCCCTGGAGCCGGCCACAGCCACCTGCCTCTCCCTCCTGTCCTCCACTCTCCCCAGGCACAGACACGGGCCCCCACGTCAGCACACTCGGGCCCGGGCTCCCGGGAGGACACCTGGGCCCGCGGGAAGCCCAGCATCGGGCCCCGCCGTCCCCGGGGAGCTGCGCAGGGAGCTGAACGCCCCACGGCCTCAAGGTGGCTACGGTACGGCCCTCCGCGGGCCCCTGTACGCCTCATGACCCCTGGCCCGGGCGCACGCCGGGGACCGCCTCCCAGGGGCCAAAGGGGCCTCGGCAGCTCGAGGACAACGGCCCGCGAGGAGGGGCACCCGGGGGTCACCTGGGGCTCGGGGGCGGGGGCAAGCGTCCATGCAGTGCGTGCAGCTGGGCGGCAGCACAGGTGGGGTCCTGCGCCTCCTCATCCCTCCTCATCCTCTTCCGGGCCCGCGAGCCCCGTGCTGCCGGGTCCCTCTCCAGCCCTGGAACAGAGAGGTGTTGTTCCCCACCACCCTTCCCACGACCCCGGACAGACCCCTGGGGCCACCACGCCCCCATCTCACGGTGACAACACGCTAGTGAGCGCATGTGTTAGTGCCAAACCCTCCAACTACCAAACCCTCGGCCACGTTCCACAGAGAGCCTGGTCGGCCACCAGCAGGATGAGGCCACCGCGCTGGGGTCTCCCGACACCTCAACGGGACGCGGGCAGAAGAGAGGCTAGGCTGCCAGGCCACCGACCTCTGCGGGCCGGCGTCCATCCCCAAGTCCCCCAAGTCCCCAGGGCAGGGTGAGAGATTCCTCAAGGCTACCGGGCCCTGCCCTGACCCCTGCTGGCTCTCTCCGCTGGGTGCGGAGGCCATCCTTCCCAGTCGCCGTGCAGGCTGGCGCCCCAGGGCGCACGGGAGGCGCGGGGCGGAGTGTGGATTCGGACACCAGGGGCGCTCCACCCCAAGCACGTCGCACCCCCCCCCCAACTTGCTGTGGGAGCCAGGGGCCTGGACTGAGCACGCTCCCCACCGAGGGGCTGAGGGCCCGCGGGCCGAGCATGGCTCGCACCGTGAGGACCGTGAGCTGCCAGGAAAGGAAGGAAACGAGCTGAGTGATGTGTCCCAGGCAGAGGACGAGAGGTCGAGCAGGCTGCACAGTCCTCCGGGGCCGAGGAGCTCGGGACTTGGAGGGGCACACGTGAGCGGTGGGCACCCCCAGGCGGCACGCGGGCATGAAGCCGGGGTGGCGGGGGGTGGGGGAGGCTCTCCCAGGTGGGGAGGGCAGACGCACAGACACCAGCACCCTCGCTCCTGGACCCAGGAGGACAGAAAGACAACTGGAGGGTGAGAGACCCGAGAAGGAGGCAGCGCTATTTTGCTGGAAAACATGGGAAGATCGGAAGGGCCTGCCGGGTGTCAGGAAGGAGAGAGTGGGGGAAACCCAGCTGCTAGAGTTACAGGGGCTGCAGGAGACCCACAAAGCTTCTGAGCAGAAGAGGCGGGTGCTCGGAAAGACCTACGCGAAGACCCACGCTCCCGGTGACGTGACAGTGAGCGGGCAGGGGCGAGGCCTCAGGAGACTGAAGGAAAAGCCAATCACACTCCCAGCGTTTTCTCCTATTAGCTTTTGCAGCCAGCCTGAGGGGCAGCCTCCCACCAAGACCCCTTGGCAGGGTGGGGATGGGGGTGGGGGGCGCACACAGGAAGGTCTGCCTTGAAAACACTCCGGAAGCAGCAGCCAATCGGCCGGGAGGGGGGGTAGGGAGGGGAGGGAGCTCCGGGCCGGCCCCCCCCCCCCGGCGGGGGGGGGGCCATGTGACTGGCTCTGTAAAAGTCAGGGGACCACGGGGCGGGCCAGCAGACCAAGGCCCAGGACAGACGTTCGAGCGTGGTGATGAGGGCAGTGCATGGAACAGAGGATGGATCTTTCAAAACGGCCCTCAGAAAAATTAACATTCTTACCATTTCACTAACGTTTAACGAATACTTCCAAAACCAGAAGACACGTCATCCTACCGCATAAAAGGCAAAGAAAGAAAACAACAGGAACTGGGGACCAAGGCCCGGCACAGGCAGCAAAGTACTAACAACTCGCTAAACGGATCACCATCAGCCGAGAGGCAGACCGATCGGCCTTAAAACACGGAGCGACCTGCTGTCTACACCAGACCCACCTAAAACCACCGGTCAGCAGAAAGCGGGAACGAGGACGTGAGGGAGGATTCACTCTGCAGGCGGCAAGGAGCGTGGACCGCTGACAGGCGGCACGGGGGCTCCGCGGACCAAAAGGGCCCACGCGACGGGCCGGCGGGACGCTGTATCCCAGGGGCCCTTCCGGGCACACGGGCCCCGGACAGGAGCAGCGTCCCCAGACCACGTCCCGGGGCCACGGAGCGGTCAGAGGGTGCACAGCAACAGGCAGTGGAGACCCCAGACGTCAGAAACGGACACAGACACGACATATTCAGCGCACACGCGTGCCCACTTCCCGAGCGCACAGACTGGTGGTGTAGACAGTCCCACCGAACAATCCACTCCGCACCCCCCCCTCCCCCACGGACTCACGACTGCCGACTCCGCCCAGCCACTCTGCTAGGGAGCCAGGGCCCCTGGGGAGGGCGCCAGGAAGGGCCTCGCTGCGCCGGCACCACCAGGAGGGGCCCCGCCCGCCTCAGGTGGCCTCGGGCTCTCTGCGGACGGACTCGGCCCAGAGGCGGCTGCCCGCCCTCTGCAGCTTGGTGGGCGGCGGCAGACGGCTTTGGCCGTCGCACAGCTGGTTTCTCGGGGGGGGGGGGGGGGCCGGAGGCCGCAGGCCCTTCGCGGGAAACATCTGCCCGCGCCCGCTCCAGAAGACCAGTGAGCCCGCCCGCTGCCCTTTCTCAGGCTCCCGTGGCTGAGAGCAAAGGACAGAGCCGTTCGGGCGTGCTGGGTCCCCCGAGGCTGGGGACCCCAAGCAGGCTCCATCATCACCACGACACCCTAGCTCCAGCTCCCCAAAACCCCCCAGTGCCCCCACTCGGGACGTGGACGAGGTGGATCGCTAACCACCGCAGGGCCCGTCGCGGTGGCCCGGCGAGCGTGCCCACGACACACGCGCACGCCTGGTGCAGGGGGGTGGCGGTGGGCAAGACCGGTAAGTGGGCACTGTGGCATTTAGATGGATACAATCACAGCCCGAGGATCGATACGAGAATTCCTAAGAGTTACAAGAATGAAATATATTTTTCATTGATTTGTTGTTTTAAACCATTAAAAAGATGGGTAAGCGCGTTGAGGCAGAGTAAATACTCAGGGCACGAAAAAAACCACTACCACTTTCACGTCGTTGTAGAAAATCAATCTTGCTGACACACTTTCAAAGGAAAACCCCAAAAAGCAGACGGCATTCCTCGGGCCCGGGAGCGCGCATCTGCCGGGAGAGCGAGGCCGCGGCCGCCCCGCCTCGCCAGCTGCACCCACCCGGGCCAGGGGCATGCGACTCGAGTACGGGAGCGGGAGCGTGGCTCCGAGGTACTCCCACGGTCGCCTGGAGAAAGCGTCGGAAAAACGCCCAAATCCCCGTTTTTGTTTAAATTGACCGAGTGGCACCCGTTTGCCTGGAGCGCGAAGGCAGACAGGGCGGGAGAGATGAATCGATAGCAGGAAATGGAGAGGCTGCGGCTTCGCGCGGAGTTAGGCCGCCGAGCTTGACACTATTGATTCTACCTGGTTCAGCTGGCCTTGTAATTAAAATGTAAATTTGAGAAAGAGATTACGTCCTGACAGAAACGGTAGGATTAAGGGGAAGATAAAAGCCCCTTGGTGAAAATTCAGAGAAAGGAATGAGAAAGAAAGAGCGCCAGCGTCCTCAGCCGTGTGGATTTAGACGGCTCTACTGCAGGGTTCACCTGCGTTTAATTGAAAAAACAGCGACGGAATATAAAGCAGCGTTATGAACTGCCGCGCCCTGGCACACTTGTGTTTGGAAACTCCCAGGGCCCTGGAGGCCCGCAAGGGCTGCCGTGCGGGTGAGGGTGGGGTCGCCCGGGCGCACAGCCGTCTGGGCAGCCGATCCCGGGTCGCGAGCGCCCCCCCCCCCCCCCACCCCCACCCCCCGGGGGCCCCCCCCCCCCCGGGGGACCCTTTGACCCCCCCCCCCCCCCCCCCCCCCACAGCTGGGCTGTACGGGGCTGGCCTCATCCCCGAGGCCCCTGCTCCATCGCCGGCCAGGCCCTCGGCAGCCCACCTGTCCGGGAAGGGACTCAGTTTAGCAAACACAGACGGACGGACAGCACCTGGCCGTGACCCGCGTCGGCCATTAGCATTCCCTTCCGGGTCACAGACAGCATGTCGTGAGCCTTCCACAGAAAAGGAGTGAGCCAGTGGCGGCAAGACCGGCGGGGTCTCTCCCAACATGGGCCCCGCGGGCCTCACGAGGAAGCGGGTGTCAGGTGCAGGTGACAGGAGGCGGCATTCTGCTAACCTGCTCCTGCAGGACAAACGCTCCGGGGCTCAGCGGAGGGATGGGGCACCCTGTAGGCCTGTGGGTTTTTCTGGGCCAGAAATACCTCAGTGGGAACAGCTGATCTGTCTTGCCGGGGCCTTGGCCGGGGAGACGAGCGGTTAGAACCCCTGGAGTGCGCTCGCCCTCTGTGGTCACCTGGGGAACCCGGGAGCAGGACTCAGCTGGGCTCGGTACTCAACGGCTCTTGCCGGTGGGCCCGGGGCTTTCTTGTCACACAGCAGCAGGGCAGGATCCCATCGAGTGTCCTGTGAGCGGCATTGTGACACCCAGTCCCCCTCTGCCACTCTTGATTAGCAGGATTCCAGGGAGGCTCACCACCCGACCAGTGGGAGTGGCGGGAGCTCCCCCACCCCCGCCGGAGGCTGGCAAGGCCAGACCACGTTCCAGCCCCTCGGTGGTAAGGCAGATCCACGGGCCACGGTTGTGGTCACTGCTCTCCTCACGACCGGCCACCAAGCACAAGCCACAGGCCAGAGGGAAGCTCTCCCTCCTGCGGGAAGGGCTCAGGGCCCTCAAAGCGAGACTGCAGAGGGCCCAGGACAAGTGGCTGTGGCAGTAAGAGCTCAGCGGAGGACAAGCCGAGGGTCAGCGTGGGCTCCCAGGCCCCAGAGGCAGGGCCAAGGGGCTCGCGGCCCAACCACTGCCGGGCACCCTGCCCAGGCAAGGGAAGCAAGAACAGGGTGGCGGGCACGCCCCAGGAGGCGCTCGGGCCCGGGCTGCAGAGGCCCGGAGAAGTGACCGGACTGAGGGGGGGGGCCGTTCCCCGGGGGTCCCGTCCCCACCGCCCATGTCCCAGCCTGGGCACGAGCGGCCTCAAGTGCGGCTGGGCCTCTGCTGGGCTCTGGCCTGGCCACGGGGAGCCCCCGCTCCGGTGGGAGGACAGCAGAACCCAGGGACGGCAGAAGAACACACAAGACCAAAGGGCAGGAGGGCCGCCCAGTGGTCGGGGGGGGGGGGGCCCAAAAAGCCACGAACGGAAGGTCAGCACGGCCAGAGCAGAGGGCGGGACGCACGTGCAGGCCGGCGCCTGGGGGGGAGGTCACCTGGCTGGGAGACGGCAGGCGTCGGGTCTGGCTGTGCTGCTCGGGTCGTGAGGCCCCTAACGGGCCACAGCACCACCCCTGAGCGGCTGCCAACCACCCACACTCTTCACACACCTGCGCTTTGCCTCACAGCCTCGGGCAGACATCCACCTGTTTTGCCCCAAAAACCACGGATCCGGTTATTTGGCTCCTCTGGACGTGAGGGGTCGGCCCCGTGCGCCCACACCCCTGCTCCCGAGGGCCACCACCCTGGGCCGCTGGCAAGGAAACCACTGGGTGACACTGCCCAGGAGCAACCTTGCTCTGCCCCACGGCAAACAGGCGTCCTGGGCCTGACGTGCCGCCACCGACCGCGGCTCCACAGTCAGGAAGGAGGGAAGGGTGCTCCGCCACGCGGGGGCTGGGGACCAGGGAGGAGGCAGCAGTCTCTGTCGCCCGGTGCCCCTGCCCCAAGCGGGAATCGAGTCCCTGGACGTGGGAGCCGGCCCTCCCCGGATTCGTGTGTCCCCAGCAGGGCTGCCCCTCGTGCGGAGCCGGCCTGACTGTGCCCCCAGAAGGGGCGGTGGCACCTGCCCGACTCGGGGACGGCAGGAGCCCAGCACAGCGCCGGCCTGGGAGAGGGGCCCTGGGCACGAGGGGGAAGATGGCATGATTTTCGGTGACAGATGTGCAGCGTCACCAGGCAGGGCGCACACCAGGGCTGGCTCCCCTGCTCAGGGGGCCCCAGACCCCAGACGAGAGGTCACGCCCGAGGGCCAGCATCCTCGGCTCCTGCCACCCCACCGCCGGCCGCACTCACCACACTCGGGCTGCAGGTGCTCGGGGACGCAAGCCTCATAGCCCTCCTTCTCTGGGACCTCTATGAAGTCGTCGTCCTCGTCCTCATCCTCGTCCCCGACCGCTGGGCCCGTCTGTGGAAACACACCTGTGTGTGAGAACAGCCCAGAGGCCCGGACGCTCCCGATCCTACCAGGAGAGACCTCGCTCCGGGCTGGGTTTCGGCGACGGGCTCGAGGCAGCACCAAACACCAAAGATGGTCTCCAGGCCCTGCTCCTCAGCTCAGGCCAGCCCTGTGGCTCCTCCACCGGCCAGCCACCTGGGGTCCACGTCCAGACACATGTAAACCTGCCCCACTACCTCGTTCCCTTTGAAACTCATGCAAGAAACCCGGCTTCAAGGTCTCATGGAGCAGACGTGCTCCCAGGGCCCCGTGAGACACGTCTCCCCCAGCGAGAGACAAGATGCCCCCGGTTCCGGGCCGAGCTGAGGGTGGCGTCCAGCTCAAGCCAGGCCCCCCGGGGACAGTGGTGTGCCTGTGCTGCTGGAATAACCTGCCCTTAGGAGTCACTCGTGACAGAGCCACTGAAGAGCCCGTTCCCTTTGGGCAGGGCCACCTGCTCCTTAGCCCGCCCGGAGGGCCTGCTTCACTCCTGGGGCACCGGGACCCTCTGCAGCACCCAGTCCGTGGCACAGCAGGGGCGGGGGCTGCCGCACACCCAGGAATCGGGCTTCTGAGGCTGGTCCTGTGCAGCCCCCTCCTCGCCCCCCTTCTCAGTGACCCCTGTGGCCCTAGGGCAGGACGCGAGGGAGAGGATCCCAGCAGGAGCCCGGCCTACTCCGCACCACGGCCGCAGCCGATTTCAGACCAAGTGGAGGAGACTTCCAGAACGGAGGCCCCCGTCGCGCGAATGCAGACTGCCAGGCCTCTGAAGGTACAAAGCAGCAGCCTTGGAAGAACGGCCCTGTGACACACGCCTGCACCACCAAAACCTCTCTCAATGGCACGCCTCAGAGGCACAGCGCAGGCCTGAGCAGGGGGACGGAGAGCCTGAGTGACCCAGGGGACAGGAGGCCGCGGGCTGGCCCCACACCAGGCCCGGCCAAGTCACAGACGCCGGCAGCGCCCGCCCGCCCGCACAGCTGGGCCTGGTGGCGGCCCCGGCGGCGACCCGGCCACCCGGCCGTACCTGCAGGCCCGGGACGCCCGTGCAGGAGCCACCGCCCGCCCGGAGAGGCATAATCAGATGCAAATGCACTTTGTTTAGGTACAACCCACGGCTGTGCATCTGGGAAGCACGGGAGACATTAATCACTGGAAACTGTAATTTTTGTTATCAGTCTAACACTGATCAAAAGGGAAGCCTGTCTCCACCACTGACCTGTGAAACGTCCCAATTATGCTCTTTGGAAATGACAGGGGCACTTAACTCCCGAGCTGGGCAAATGACGACGATCAATCACGTTTGAATAACAATGAGCCGCGGACCTGAAAATTATTTTTGTATAGAATCTACCCAGGAATTTATGAAAGGTGGAAAGCAGCCCAAGGTTTTAGGGCATTACGGTTCTCGGCTAGTGCAGCGCGTATCAAACACTAAACAGAATTTATGTGTTTTAATTTTCTAAAAGGTAGATGTGCACTGGGTGCTACAATGCATAACATATAGTGCTGGGTTTTAAATACGGGGTCATTTTCATAAAATATTATGCTTATTGTTCACACCCTTGAATTTCACCAGGGACTTTTATTAAATTTTCATTTCTTAAAAAATATTCGGCTGCTTAGCTAACTATTAGGAATTATGCCCTCTTTCTCCCCAACTAAAATTGTTTATTCCTGTGAAGAAACACGGAGCCCTGAGCTGCTCTTTGTTCTTAAATTAGCACTGATCAGGCCGCACCAGGCAGCACACACACCACCTCCAGAACGCCGCCCCCTGGGTCTGTGCAGCCAGGTCCCCCGGAAGAACGCGGCTGACTCGACCGCAGGGTGCTCACCTCCGGTCCGCTGGTGGCCCACTCAAACCACAGCGACGCAGTCAGACACGGACTTTGCCGCCAATATCGAAGCCACGCTTGAAAGCTTCCACTTTCTTTTGGTTCGCGGTGTTCGCTCGGCTGTCTGAACCCCCCGGAGCTCAGAGTGACCCTGGATGTCGGGCCCTGAGCACATCAGCAAAGGGCAGTGACATCTGGTGTCCAGAGGTGGAGGGGGGCGCCACGTCCAGAACAGTCACTGCGGCTGTGACACCTGTGTGACCTGCCCTGGCGCCTCACACAAACGCCTGTTCAGAGAGCAGGAGCACCGCCACCAGGCAGGCCAGAAAGCCCTCTCCATGAGACGTTGGTGAAGCAGCATGGACTGGGGAAACTGAGGCCGGCAGGAAGGAGCCCATGGGAGCCAGTCCCGGGGCAGGACTTCCCCTCAAAGTCAAAGGTCACAGGCTGGTAAGAAACCAGCACTGGATGAGGCAAGGGGAGGCACTGGGGGCAGGAGGCAGAGGAGGGGCGCCCGCTGGGATCGTCCTGTAAGGAGGCATCCAGTTGAAAGTGGGTGGTCCTCAAAACCGAGTGGGCTCATAAGCTGTTCTGTGTTTGCCACAAGCTGAGTTTCCCTGTCGCAATAAACCCCACGAACATTCTCGAGAAACCAGCCCCTGCGTCCCCCCCCACCTTCCCTAACGGAGAGCCCCTGGGCAGGTGGACAGAGCCCTGCGGCCCCTGGGACGCCCCCCCGCACCGCGTCACCCTTTTGGGAGAGGCCAGACCCGAGGGACGAGGGATGGGGGACAGACACCTCCCGGGCACAGCCTGTCCGCAGCCACGGGGAGGCGCAGAGGAGGGCCTCGGGCCTTTCGCGGGTCTCATACAAATGGATTCGCACCCACGGTTAAAAGGATTTAGAAAAATGAGCCTCTGGGATCGTAATTAAACAAGCAATAAAACGGCTAAAATATACAACGCAATCAGCTTACAGCAGTGGGGGTATCGGGGTTACTGATTATTTGAGGAGGAACAGAACGAGCGACCTGGCTCCGGGAGCGGGTCTGCCCGCCAAACGCGCGCCCGAGATGCAGCTGGGACCGTTAAATAAATTTTGTACGATCTAATTAACTTGGTGCGCAATCTCAATTACTTTTCACCCAAGAAATCACTTTTGTTCAGTTTTATGTGTGTCTGTTTCCCTTTTTAAAAAAAAAAATGATGTAAGGCCTCGTCAGACAAGTGAGCTCCAACCTGCATTTGTCTTTCGGCGGCTTGATGGCCATGCATTTAAAACCCCATTCTATCTTATAAACTAAAAATTAAACGTGCTCAGCTGTGATGGCCGTCATCGCATCTGCTATTTATATGCTAATGCCCTCCCTGGAAGGCCGTGCAAATTGCCCAGCCAGGCCAATATCTCATGCACATCTCCAGCTGCTGGGGACGCACGCTCACAGGGCAGAGGACAGCAGGGCGTGGGACTGGCCAGGGCAAGAGTGAGGACACAGGGACCCTTGGCGACACCACTCGGGCCGCAGAGCGCACGGTCCCCGCTCAGCGAGAGCAGAGCTGGTGAAGTGCGTCACCGGGTTCTAGGACGGCCACGGCCCCCCCCCCCCCCCCCCGCCCCGGTCTGGTCTGATCCAGCCCTGCGTCCAGCCTGCTGGCAGTGCAAGAAACCGCGCCGTGGGTCCACAGGACACGGGCAGGCCCGCTGCCAGGGCGAGGCTGGGGCGCGAGGCCCTGCAGGGTCACCAGGAGACTCGGGTGGGTAACTCGGGTCTGTGCCATGGTCCACGTGGGCATCCTCCCCTCAGCCGCCACGCTGGGGCTCGCTGCTGGACTCAGCAGGCCGCGAGACGCGCTCCCCTGGGCTACCTGACAGCGCATCTGGCGGAGGGCGCAGCTTGCTGGTTAGACCGGGCAGTTCCCACCGCCCGAAGGAGCCGTGTCCACACGGGAAGAGGAAAACCTTCAGCGCGCGCCCTCCTCCCTCAGCCCAAACTTCGCAGGCACAACGGCAGGCAGCCGGCACCCTCAAAGGCCGAGGCTCACGCAACTCCCCCCAGACTCCGTCTTCTCATCTGTGAAATGGGGCGGTACCATCATCTACCTCAGAGCATGCTCGGGGACTCAACGGCTGGTACCTGAAGGTGTTCCGGAGGAAGGGGTGTGCGGTGTAGACACACAGGAGAGGCCAGGCACCGCGGGGCTGGGCCCCAGGGCCCCCAGGAGACGGCTGGCCCTGAGCAGGGGGCGCTTGAGCGGGAGCTCCAGTCCTCGTGAGAAAGGCAAGAGGCGTCCAGACCCCTCCCCCGGCCTCCAGCCCCTCGCTGCGGCGGCTCGGCCTTCAGCGTGATGGAGGGGACCGCGTCACCAGGAAGGCTGTTTACTGGCCCTGCCGAGCACAAGGTCCCCACCGCCGGCTGATTTAGTTTCCCTGCCTCCCTGGGGTGCCTGACTCGTTCAACATTTCATTCCCTGGGTTCCCTACTCTGTCCTTTTCACCTACAGGAAGCCAGCACTCACGTGCCTCCAGCAGCAGAGAAAACCTGTCCGACACCAGAGCAGCAGGAGCCCCAGGCCGAGGGGCCTCCTCCCTCAGACAGGTCTGCTGGGGACGCTGGCACAGAGCCACGGGGCTCCATCTGCTTTTAGAACGAGTGACGATGCGCCCGCCGCTCAGACCATGTGGCTGCCACTGGTGAGCGGTGAGAAAACATAACCCAGGCATTCTTAAAAACCATACCGCGGATAGTCTGTATAAACGGACGCTTGAAATTCATTTTTTCAGACATATCGGTTGGTGGGAAATTAATATTTTGTTAATTACACAACAGAATAATTGGTGATCTCGGCCACATAATTAAACCGCAGGCAATTTAAAAGTTTATAAAGGATTTTTATCAGTTTAACAAATGTAGCAGCCACGGATTATTACACCTCTCCTACGACAGCAGAGCCGGAGACTAAATCTACCCGACGACGCTCCACATTGATCCGTTCAGGATTTATCCCCGGCCTGCTTCCCGCAGGACGGAGATACGCTCTATAGAACAGACACTTACACGTATTAAAGGTGGAACTACGTCAAAAGGAAAACAGTCTGTGGACCCAACAGCAACACAGAAAACAACCCGAGGATGGCTTCTGACACGCAGAACCCCTGCCAGGCTTCCCGGTCGGGCTTCCGCAGTCACAGGCTCCCGGCCGGCTCGCTCGCTCGCTCGCTCTCTCTCTAGCGTCCGTTCTGGCCTCCCACATATCGGTCGTTAGTTCTGAGACGCTCGGATCCCTGTCACCGAATTGGCGTCCCCGGCTCGGCCACTGTGCAGGCGGTCGCCAGGGCGAGCCCCGGCTGAGTGGGGGACGTGGGGGACGGCCCAGGCCAGTGATTCAAAGTCTCAGACGTTTTACTTGGGACCGGGTGGAGCGCGCCTGGCTCCTAATTCCCCGGAGGCCGGCGCCGCTGCGGGAGCAGATGTGCAGATACGGCCGCGGCTATTCCGGGAAGCGGCGCTCACCTGAGCGGGGCGCTGCCACTCAGCCCCCCCCCCCACCCCACCCCAGCCCCGATCGCTTCGTCTCCAGGCGCCACGGCCCACCAGCTGGCGCGGACGACCCGTCTCCAAGGATTTCGGAGCGGTGCCTTTTTTAAATCAGTTCGTGGAGGAGCGTCTTCAAAGTGTCCTTTCGGCTGACAGAGGCGGTGAAGCTCCCCTGCCTCCGAAGTCACCTTCCCACACTCAGCTCCACCCTCCGGGGCCATCCTGAGCCTCGGCGCCCTGCTGTCCTCCCGCCGGAGGAACAGTGTCCTGTTTGGAGGACACCCACAGCCCCTCCTCCGGCGGGTCCCCCACCTCGCCGGCCCCCCAGCCTTCAGAACGGAAGCCGGCGCCTCTGACTGAGGGCCTCCCATCCCCCAACCTGCCGGGCCACAAGCAGCATACCTGCCCCCACCAGACACTCCCTCGGATGCCTGGGGACAGTGCCCGGGATGGGGGGCCACATCAGCGAGGGTGTGAGTCCTGCCTGAGCGAGGGAACCATCAAGGCTCTGACTGTATCGCGGGTGGGGGGGGTGGGGGGGGGAGGGGGCACAGCCCCAGCCCAGCACCCACAGGGCACCCAGGGCAGGGCTCCTTCCACACGGGGAGCCTGAGCCCTTCAGTCTCCACCGGCCTGTGGCCTCTGCTGGAGAAAGGACCCATCCTGGATGCTGTCGGCAGCCTGCCCTCAGATTTGAGCCCCGCGGGCCCCCGGGCCGCGGGGCTGCAGCAGCCACGGACAGGGCAGCCGGCCTCTCCTCCCCTGGGGGCCCTAGAGCCTCGAGGCGAGGGTGGTGCCTGCCGGCTTCAGGCACCTGGGTGGCTCCGCCGCCCCCGAGGGCGGGCGAGGGCACCTGCTACAGGGAAAGCGGGAGCCAGCCCAGCTGGGCCTCCGGCAGGAAAGAGGCGGGCCCCAGAGCACCGCGAAGGCCCCCGCACCCGTCCCCGCTCTCGGGCCGGCCTGCGCTCTGGCACCGTGACCCCGGGTCACCTCACGTTCCAAAAGAAATCCCTCTGCACGTGTGGGAACGAGCTGACCACATCACCTCCTTCCCGACACCAGAAAACCACCTTCTTTCGTTGCAAGAGAAGAGTATCTTTTTTCACAAAACTAACTTCTTACTCAGGGCACACACCCGAGCAGGGTCCTCCGTGCAATGCTGCACCCACAGAAGCCGGGCTGGGATCTCAGCGCCAGGTCAGGAACTTTCCTCACCCTCTTGAGGCCTTGCGGGAGAAAGGCAAGGTCGCCCTCTGCCGGTCCCTGGGGGCCGCTGCGCAGTCACCCCTCTCCCGGGCCCCTCCCACACGAAGGGCGGCGGCCTGGAGGGCGTCTAGTGGCCCCGGAGGGGACAAGGTCACTAGGTGCCGAGACCGGGGGTGTCGACCACTGTCTGTCCTAGGTCTCGGTGGCTCTGGATTTGCTGTTCCCAGCCCGGCAACGCCACTCTTCCCACCCTAGAGCTTCCTCTAGCAACAGTTGTGTCTCCCTGGAGCGCAGCCCCGCCCTCCTCCCTCCGGGGTCCTGGGGTTGCAGGTGAAGCTGGTGTCCGGCTCCCAGGCTGGAGCCCAGGTTCAGGGTCCCGGCACCCGGCGGAGAAGGACACTCTGGGGCCTGCCTTCTCGGTTCTGAGAGAGCGGTGCTGTGCTGGCCCCACCGTGGTCTGGCTACGGCTGCCTCTCCCTGCTGGCCCGCGCCCAGTCTCTGAGGACACCCGCAGAGGACACGGCTCTCAAATCCCTCTCGGATGTTAAGTTCCAGGTCCTGGCCCAGACCCACCGGACGGGGGCCCGGAAGTCACGGTCTTTAAGGCTCAGGGTGGCCGCATGATGCCTGCTGTCTCAGGGGCTGGCGGCCTTCACTCGGGCACCATCACCAAGTGCGGGCCTGTCCTGCTGCCTGGGGACACGGTGCTCAAGAGCACCAGCTTCCCCCGTCCAAACCACCCAGTATCTGTGAGGCGCCACGACCAGCCACACCCGGCCTCGACCACCCTCCCCAAATTAGGCACCAGCCGCACGTTCAGCCCGCCCGGCGGCCGGGGAGCTCCTCCGTGGGGCACTACCAGGGACACCGCCCTCTGCACAAGCCTGGAGCAAAAGTCCTGATTTTCTGTCTGCCACAGGCATCCTAACTCTGTGTGTCCTTGGCTACGACGCAGGCGACAGGATGAGACCCCGAAGCCTGGAAGGTTGACACCAGCTCACGGGAGGCTCCGCTGGGGCGCTCGGGGAGTTTCAGGGGACAGCAGGGCTGGCCTAGGTCTCAGCTCAGCCCTTGGCCTCCTCCTCCTCTTCTTCCGGGGCCCTGGGACCTCCCTCCCGACCAGAACCTTCTGACTGTTCCCCCGGCTCACCTGCCACGCCCTCCTGCCCCAGACCCCGTCCCAGCCCTCCAGCGGCCAGGGGGCCTCAGCTGCGCCCTCTGACCTTCCAAACCAAAGCTTCCGTTTCGGGAACTGAGCACCCGATGAGGCAAGAACCAGACATCTCTGAGCCCCCAGTCATTCCCGCTCAGAAAACCGAGCACAGGCCAAAGAGAAGATAGATCTCCTTGCTGTCGCCTCTGCCCCAGCCCGCGGGCGGCACTCACCTCCCTCCTGCGCCCCTCCTCAGGTTCGATGTCCAGCTCCCCAGATCTCCTCAGGGCAGTTTCCAGTTCCGCCTTCAGGTTGATGGCGGCTTCCAAGTGCCCGCCACGAATCCCCGCGCGGGTGAACAGCTGCCGACAAGGAGGCACATCACTGGGGCAGGCCAGGGCGCCCTCCCCTTCCACCCCGGGGGTCAGCCGCTGCACAACCCCGACCCTGGCCTGCACCTGAGCACGTGTGCGCGGTGGAGACGGGCCTCACCTGTACCCAGGAGCGCACGGCCGGCAGGAACTTGTTTCGGATAAGCTTGAGCGCGTCCCGGGCAGACTGGATGACGGCGTGGTTGTCCTCGTCCTCGTGCACCCTCAGGCCATCTGGATCAAAGCACACGGGGTCACCGGAGGAAGCAGGGCAGGTCACCCAGCACCACGGATGGACCACCCGCACTTCTGTGCGTCGGCCCCCAGCCACGTGTCGCCCAGGACCCCACGCCGGATGCCACAGAAAGACGTTCACTACTTTAAGATTTTGGTGGAAATCATTTCAGCCCGACCCCAATGCCCGGCCCGGTGTCCTCACAGACACACGCGCCACAGCCCATACGTCCGGCCCGCCCGCGGCGGCCCTGAAGCCCCTCCCCTGACAGCTCTCAGGACGGAGGCCCCAGCCTCAGCTCGGCCCCAGGGTCCTCCCTCCGTGTCCTGCCCCCTAGCCCTTCTGCGGCCGGGTACCCTCCTCGTGCTCCCCCAGGCCCGGCCAGACAGCGGGCAGCTCCTTGGGGCTGGTGGGGCTCAAGATGCCTGGGCGTGTAGGGTGTTCACACAGCTCCGTGCCCTGACTGCCCTTCCTCTGTAAACACCCCCGAGGGGCTCTCAACCCACCCAACACCCCGCACAGGGGGCCAGGCCACAGCGGGTCCCGTGCAGCACACCTGTGTCGTCGCCAATGTGGCGAGAAGCCGCTCTGCAAACACGTTTCCTCCAGACCAGGGCGGACAGCCACCCTCCGATCCCAACGGGCCCGGGACCAGGCCCCACAGCCTCCCGCAGGGCTCCAGGCCACTTGTGGCAGCAGCCCCTCTCAAAGAGCACCCCGGGTGGGGCCGTGGGACCCAGAGCCTCAAGTCACCCGGGACCCCAACCTTGGAGGACTGGCCCTGCCACGTCCCGAGAAGTCTGAGCTCTTGCCAGCACCCCTAGGGCCCACGGCCAGCCCATGGGAGCCGGTGGTTACCTGAGGAGAGCTCCACATCTAGCGTGTACTTGTGGGAGCCCAGTCCGTGGCGCCGCACAAACCCTTCCTTGTCACCGTCGCTGTCCTCATGCCGGTCCTCGTCCTCCTCGTCCTCCTCCCCTGAGTCCCCTGCGGTCCAGGGAGGGGGAGACGGAGGGCGGGCACAGGCGAGCAGGCTCTTGCTGCAACAGGGCTCCTCGTCCCCAGGCCTCAAGGCACCGGCCAGGCAAGGGGCGCCCCCTTCAGACGCACCGAAGGCCACGGTGGGCAAGGCGGCTCCCGGGCCCTCGGCCAAGTCCAGCGGCACCAGCAGCCTGAAGCAGCTCTCCACCTCCGTGAGGCAGCACCGGATCTCCTCAGACGTTTCTGCAAAGATGCAGGAACTGCCTGTTGGGTCGTGATGACAAGCAGCAGCACCTCCCCTCAGGCAGAGCCCAGGGTCAGAGGGAGGGCCGCCCGCCCCTCCTTCCTGCCCCGGACAGAGGCCAGCCCTGGGCGCATGGAGGCTTTGTCGTCTCTTAGAAACCACCCGACTGTGCAGCACCCCACCACCCGCCCCGTGACATCCTCAGTAACACCCTCACGCCTGGACTTCTGGGAGGCTCACGGGAGCCCCGTGAGTACCAAGCGGGGTAGGCCACCGTGGGCGGAACTTCCGGAAGAGAGCGGCCAGCTGAGAGCCGTGGGGACGCACACCCTTCCCAGCCCTCCAGCCGGACCGCACTCCAGCCAGCACCTGCCTTGGGGCCTTCCTCTCGAGTTCCTCTCACCCTGGCTGCCCCTCGTGGAAAGGGTCAGCTGCTCAGAAAAGGGTCAGGTTTCAGAAGTAGGGGTGCCAGCAAGAGCTGTCCCCTGCCCCACCTACGGGACGTTATGGGGAGCATCGTTCTCAGACAACACCACCAGGGGGCGCAGGAGAGGAGGGCCCACCCGGAGCTTCCTGGGGACGGGCTGGGGGCTGCTGCCAAGGTCAGGCCAGCGGTCTACCCACCTGCAGCCCCACGGGGTGGGGAGAACTCACCCTCCATGTCCCTGACGGCCCGCTCACACCTCTCCCTGTAGATTCTGTCCAAGCGTTTCTGCTTCTCCTCCTCCCGCTTTCTTTCTGCCAGAGTCCGTGCGCTCACATCCTCAAAATCCACCTGAGGAATCAGAGGTTAGACCGGACTACACGAGACACGTGGAAAACACAGTAAGTCAGACAGAAACCCAGAAGAAGGCGTGTCGGCACCGGCACACGGCCCTCTGTGCCCCTGGGGCCCGACGGCATCAGGGCCAGCAGCACTTCCAGCGAAGCACACGCCACGTGGGAAAGCAGCATGGCCCCTGGGGCCCCGGACGAGCAGCGACACGTTCAGGCTGCAGGGGGACTGGCCAGCGGCCCTGGCCGAGGCGGGGGCTGCCGGGGAGGAGGGCCCGGCCCGGCGGGTTTCACGCGGCCAGGACCGCCAGGGCCCACGGCAGACCCAGGCGGGACTCAAGCTCGGGGCCACAGAACAGGGCCGCGTCCGAGAAGCTGACTCCTCTCCCTCGTTTCCGCTTCCTGTGGAAGTCAGGACCGGAGGCTCCGCTCCGTCCACACGTCCCCGTCTTAGAGCTGCCGTCCCCTCCCGGGAGCCCCTCCACCACGCCGGCCGGCAGCGAGACGCCAGGCAGGCCCGCCCCACCTGTTTGCTGTGTCTCAGGAAGTGGTAGCCCAAGGCGAGCTTCTTGTAGGCGGCGCCGTACTTCCCGTGCCATCCTTGGACAGCCCTGGCGGCCGCCTGCCTCAGCCTCTGGGCCGCCTCCCTGGGGGGCGGCAGGGGCTGCTCGTGGTCGGTGCCCAGGGTGAGCTCCAGAAACTCCTGGAAGTTGGAGACGACCAGCACCCGGAACCGATGAGACCGGGCGAAGAGCTGATCTATGACCTGGAAGGCGGAGAGGCGGACCTCGGCGTGCTCTCGGCTCAGCTGGGCCATGAGCAGGTGGTAGGCGCGGCGGAGCTGCTCCTCCGAAGACCTGGGGAGAGCAGCCGTGCTGGCCTGCCGGGCGCCCACTCCCCGGGGACGCTTCGTTCAGTGCCCTGTGTGGGGACACACCCTCTCCCGACCCCCCGCCTCCGTCCACAGCAGGGCAGACGGACGCTGCCTCGGGCCTCTGCCCGTTTCTGCGGGCCCCACGAGCCAAGAACGGTTTTTACGCTATTTAACGGCTGAAACAAATCAAAAGAATAATACTTGATGACATGTGAAAATCACAAGATCCAGCGTCAGTGCCCATAAAGTTTTACTGGGACACGACCGCGGCCGCACCTTCACCTCATTCGCTGCTACCGCCCACAGCTGAGTGGTCACGGCAGAGACTTTATGGCCCGCAGAGCCTACGGTATTCACCACCTGGCCCGTTACACAAAGTCCGAGCTGACACCTCCAGGGGACACCACAGCCCCCAGCCTCCCCTGCAGGTGCAGCCACCTGACTGGAACAAAAGGGAAAGGTCACGGGGCTCCTGGGGCCCGCCCTCCTGTCGCTCTTCCCAGTTAGTTCCCCTGCAGAAAAACCCACTGCCGTTTTGGAGTTTTGTGGGACGTACAGTGAGACCTGAGCCGAAAATCTTGTCGACGTGCAAAGACTTCGCTACTTAAAGTCACTTAAACTTTCCTTTTTGTAAATACAAGATAAGGACGATCGGCAAGTTTTGACTTAAGCTCTCAACAGATCCCAACCGACAATCTTTAGAAAGCTTTCGTGCCGCACTCCCCCACCCTGGGGCCGCTGCCCCACAAAGTGACCGCCTGCCAGACCTGGACGCTGCAGGGCCCTGGGGACACAGCCTCCGGAGAGGTGATGGTGGGGGGCAGGGAAGGGCTGAGACATGCAGGTGGCGGAAGACCTGACCGACCCAGGGGAAGCCCCACAATCCCCCAGGTGTCACAGGCTGGAGGAGCCAGCAATCGATCGGCATGACATCCTGAGCCTGAAGACATACTTGCAAATTTTCTTCAGTTCCTTCATTTTCTCGGGACTCAGTTGGGGTTCTCCTGAAGTCGTGAGCTCTTCTACCAACTTTGAAAGTGTTTGATCCATGTCTAGAAATACGTATGGGAGAGGCGAGAAATGACCCCCTAGCACTTGAAGGTTCTCTAGGTCATTAAACGTTTACTGGGCTCCACCGGTTCCTGGGCATTCCGGGTGGGGGGCTGCAAGGCTGGGCTCCCCACGCCCTTGCCTCTGGTACATGGCCTCGATGCTGAAACATAACAATTCAAGGTGATATTCTGGATACGGCCAACGAGACCTCTCCGACGGTAAATTAGGAAAAGCGCAACAACAAAATACTAATTCTGGAGCTCTACAGTCACACAGATCAGAGCTCAGCAATGGATGCTCAGCAACACGTTAGCGACAGAACATAACCGTGCAAATAAAATTTAGATGAGCTTTTCCCAAACGTGACAGGCGTTTTTTCCCTTTCCAACTATTCACTCCCAAGCCACGAGGCAGCCTCTCGCTACAGACTTCGGTAACGGAAGACCCACTCAGGGGCCAGCCTAACGGCTAGGAGCAAGCCAGCAGAGGCGCACCTACCTAGCACTCCAATGCTAAGCACCTAGCAGGTGTGCACAAAGAAGAGGAAAGGGTGGGGGTGAGGGGAGAATGCGGGCTGGGAGGAGGAAGGCCCGGGGAAGGCAGCCACTAAGCGTGGACAGAGACTGGGGGCAGCACGGATGCCAGGCTTGCCCCAGGCTGTTTTATTCGGAGGAGGGAGGCCAGCAGGTGTACAGGGAGCCAGGAGGAGCTCTCGAAAAGTAACGTTTGTCAGGGACACTGACTCCACTCAATGCACACTTGGCAGGAGCAAGGAGCCGCTCAACTGAGCGCCCTCCCAGCACCTCCCACTGATCATGGATCCCTCCGGGGGGACTTTGCCAGTGTTTCTAAGCCCAGCGCACCACAGCCAAGGACAGAAGAGGGGGCATCCCAGAAGAGAGCAGTGTTCAGGGAGGAAGAGGGAATGTCCTGGAAGGAAAAGGAGGAGGAGGAGGAGGAGGAGGAGGAGGAGGAGGAGGAGGGAGGAATGGAGTCCCAGGGAGGAGGAGGACCATGGGAAGGTGTTCCAGGGGAGGGGAAGAGGAGGAGGAAATGGTGTGCGGGGAGGAGGAAGGCATGGCATCCCCATTCGGACGAGGAAGAGGAGGGAAGGGTGTCCGTGGAGAAGGAAGGGGAAGAGGAGGGACTGGTGTGCGGGGAGGAGAAAAGGGCGACCCTGGGAGGGAGGAAGCGAAGAGGACGGTGTGCGGGGAGGAGGGAATGGTGTCCCCGGGAGGAGGAGGGAGGGGAGAGGAGGAGGAGATGGCATCACGAGGACGGGTTGGGAAGGGCGTCCCAGAGAGGAAGGAGAGAGAGAGAGGAAAGGACGGTGTCCCAGGGAGAAAGCGGGCGGGGCGGGGAGGCGGGGGAGGACGCAGACGGGGAGGCCGGAGGAAGTCCAGGGGAGGAGGGAGAGGGAAGGGCGTCCCAGGGAGGAAGAAGAGAAAGAGAGGACGGTGTCCCAGGAAGAAAGCAGGGGGACGGAGAGTCCCGGGGTGGAAGGGCATGTCCCGGGGAGAAGGAGGGAAAACGCCCGGCGGGGCGTGGAGGTTTGTGGCGGGGGGAAACGGGCCTGCCCTCCGAACCCCGGCTGGGCCGCAGCCCCTTGCCGGCATTGCGACGACCGCGACACGTACCGCGAAACCAGGCCGCTCGCCTCGCTCCTCCCTTTCCGGCGGAGAACCCGCCCCTGTCACGTGCCGCAGATCACCACAGTCATTGGCTCGCCCTGCCACAGGCAGCGCGGGGACGAAGGTCAGCGCCGCGACGACCGCACCTACAGCGCAAGCGGACCAGTCACCTTAGCCCGCCCCTTCCGGCGGAGGCCCAACCCGCCTCCTGTCACGTGCCCCCGAGCTCGGCAGCCAATGGCTCTCCCTGACCCTGGAGGCGCGAGCGCCAGGGAGGGGCCGAGGCCTGCGCGGTGACGCAGGCGCGCTCCCGGCAGGTCCGGACTGCTTAGGAGAGAGAGAAAAAGGAAGCGGGCGGGCGCAGCAGGTCCTTAAAGGGGCCGTGTGCCCGGCTGCCAGGGCGACGCGGAGCGGGCCCGAGGGGTGTGAGCTCGGTCTCCATGCCGCGGTAGCCTAGGGGTTTGCGATCCCCAGTCCTTGCCATCGCGACGGGATGGCCCGGGTGGGAGCCGGTGCACCTTTCTACTGGGGGCGCCGGAGACTACCCTCCCCCCGCCCCCGCTTCCCACGTGCTACCCAGAGGGGTCGAGGGGCGGGGGGTCCCCCGGGGCCGGGGGCCGGCCGGGGCTTTTCCTGGTGCGGAGGTGGGGGGTCGGCGGCGTGGAAAGGGGCGGTCCCCGGAGGAGCGTGTGCAGCCGCGGGAGGGGCGACACGACCCGGCCCCGGGAACCTGCCGGCGCGCCGGGCCTTAGTCCCCCGCCCTGTGGTCGGACTCCGCGCAGGTGCCAGTACCCCTAGTGGAGGCGCTGGCCTGGGCCCCTGCCGGGCTCCGTTCTTCCCCAGGACACCCCTCGCCCCTGTCCCTGAGCAGTGCAGGCTGCGGCTGGCCTCGCCGGGGCCCCTCACTCAGTCTGGGGACACCTCGGGTTTGCGACTCGCTCCTCGTGCGGCCCGAGCCCGGAGCCGCCGGGCCTGTGCGCACCTGGGGTTCCGCGGGCTCCGCGGCTGTGGGCTCGGGGGCCAGCGGGCCGACCAGGGCCCTGGGGGTCTGTTCCTGACACGTTCCCGGCCCTGGTGAGCTGCTTCCTCCTCACCTGTGCGGCCTGCTGCACCCCAGGGTCCTGTAGGGGCCAGGCTGGTGGCCTCACTCGCCCCTGCTTAGAGCCTGCGCGCTGTGTGTCCTCCACCCCAGGGCTGAGGGGCCATCACCCCTTTTGGCTCCTGTCTCGCCCTTTCTTCAGGAAGGCCTGCCTCACCCCAGGTACTGGGCCCCCACCCCCGTGCTTTGGGCTCTTTGAGGGGGTCTCCACCGGTGCACAGCGAGCTGGTTGGATGTTTCTAGGCTCTCCGGTGGTTGCAGAACGGGAGGAAAGCACCAAAGACAGGGCCCACTGGAACAGGACCGTCTGGACCTGAAGGCCCACAGCAGTGGGGCTCTCAGTGGCAAAGGTGGGAATGGCTCAGATGTCCGTCAGTAGACGGTGGGGTCTGTGCTTCACACCACAACGTGGATGAACCTTAAAAGCAGGGCACTGAAAGAAGCCAGACAAAAGGGCCAAATATTGTGACGCCACCTACGTAAAACGTCCAGAAAGGGCAGATGCGTGGAGACGGGGGCGCGTGACCGTTACAAAACACTGAGTTGTATGTTTTCAAACGGTGGCATTTATGGTACGTGAATTCTCTCTCAAAAAAGCGGCTGTTGGAAGACAAAAGGAAAGCGGAAAGCACGCCGGCCCTCGCGGGGCGCCTGACCCCGGCCCGCGGTCCACTCCGAGCAAGCCTCCCTCCCTCCGTCTCTGCTGTGGTTCGGTGTTCCCGCACCACTAGACTGTTCTCAGCGGCAGGAGAGCAGTTTCTCCTGTCCTAACCAAAGCCTTGTGTGCATGCCGCCCCTCCCCCAGCCGTTCCGGGTTTGGTCCTCTCTTGCAGCAGGACTCCCGGAGACAGCTGTCTGTGCTTTGCCCTGCGCCCCATCCTCTTCCTGCGACACCCGCGTCCACCCCAGTGCCCTGTGATGTTTGCACGGCCCGGTCCCGTCTCCTGCCCACCGCCCTCGTCTTAGCCGATAGGATGTCAGTCCTTCTGCTTCCGCGGCCCGGCAGACGCCTCCTGTCCCCCCACTTCTGTCCTCACACCCCTCGAGTCCACTCACCTCGCCCAGCCAGGGTGGAACTCAGTGCTGCCCCCAGCTGGCTGCTTTGCTCCAGGGGGCCGGCTTCCGGGGGGGGGGGGGGCAGCCCCTCTGCCTGGAAGGCCGCTCCCAGCCAGGCAGGGCCCCTCGCTGGCTGCGTAACAAGCCTCCTCCTGCCATTTCCTCAGGCAACTCTGCTTTAGCAGCACTCAAAGCACCGAGACTTCCTGTCACACGAGGTTTGTAATGTTAGTACCTTCTTTTCTCTGCTCTGAAAACCTGCTCCACGAGAACAGGCATCTTTGTTTCGTTTCACGATATCGGGCACGCAACAGGCGCCGGTATTGGATGCCGAATACACAGAGTTAGCTCAGGTGAGTATGTTGAGGCCTGGAAGATATGGTAGAACCAAGCGGGACTTTCAGAGATGAACCCCAGCAGAAGGAACACGAGCCCATCCAAGGCTGTCACGATCAAAGTGTGGGAAGGCAGTGACGAACAGGAGTGGAAGAGAAGGGGCCTCACACGAAGTTACAAAGAGCAAGCGGCGGGGTTCTTGGCCAGGACACCACAGGCATGAAACCGAGAGTTAAAAGAAAAACTGTCAACCCAGAACCGTGTATGCCACGAAAGACCCCTCCAAAGTTGAACTGAGCTGAAACGGAGCACTTTCAGACAAAGAAAGGCTGAGTGAATTCCTCGTCCGCAGGTCGACTGAGGGAGCGTCGGTACAGTAAGCTCTTCAGATGAAAGGCAAACGCGGATGCCAACCTACATGTACAAAAGCTGGGGGGAGCACTGGGATCGGCAAATATGGGTAAATGGAAGATCTGTCTTGTTCTAAATTTCTTTTCTAAATCATTGGCTGCTCATTGAAAGCGTAACAGTGTATCACAGGGTGCAGAATGTCCGTAGAGGGAAAATATGCCATAGTTGGGGCAAAGGACAGAGGAGGGAGAAAGGCAGTCAGTTTTCTCAGATCCTTGTGTTGACATGAAGTTATACAGTATTTGAAGGCCCTTGTGGGAAGTTCAAGATGTACACTGAACTACAGAGGTGTAGCTAAAAAGTCAAAGATTAAAAGGAACCATGTGGGGGCACCTGGGCGGCTGAGTCAGTTGAGCGTCCGACTTCGGCTCAGGCCACAATCGGGTGGTCCGTGAGTTCGAGCCCTGCGTCGGGCTCTGTGCCGACAGCTCGGAGCCTGGAGCCTGCTTTGGATTCTGTGTCTCCCTCTGTCTCTGCCCCTCCCCCACTCAAGCTCTGTCTCACTCTCTCAAAAATAAACATTAAAACTATTTTTTTTTAAAAAAGGAATAATGTTTAAATAGTCTAGAGGTGTCAAGTAAAGACAAAAAAGGGAACAGAAAACAGACCGGACAAATAGAAAGGGCACAGATTTAAATCCAGCAATAATAATAATTACATTAAATGTCAACGGTCTAGACACCTCAATTGAAAGGCAGTGGTTGTCCAACTGAATTAAAAAGACTCGAGTGTATAATGTCTACAAGAAACTCACTTCAAATTTGACTTGGATTGGAAGCAAAAGAATCGAGAAAGATGTAACATACTAACACTAAGTAGGTGAGGGCCAGACTGGCCGGACCCTCATCAGACAAAGTGGGCTTTTATATAAGAGATTTTGGCAGCTAGGGTGCTTGCTCCTAATAACAAATTACAAATAAATGAAGCAAAGGCTTGCAGACGTAAAGGGGACATAGACAAATTCATCTGTAAGCTTTAAGAACCAGCAGGGAGGAGATCAGGAAGGGTAGGAGAGACTAACCGCCCATCGTGGACTTGACCTGGTTTGCACTTGGCAGGACGCTCCACCCGATGGCAGACGATATTGTTTAGAAGTGCACACAGAACACTTATCAGGGCAGACATAAAACAAATCGCTACAAATTTAAGAGGGTCGGAACCAGACACAGTAGATTTTCTAACAGAATTACATTAGAACTTAATACCAAAAAGATTTGGAAAGTCTCCAAGTATTTGAAAATTAGCTAACAGACTTGTGTGATCCATGGGTCAAAGGAAAAAAAAAATCACAATGAAATTATAAAATATTTTGAAATGCATGAAAATAAAAACAACATAAGAATGTACGCAGGGGCACCTGGGTAGCTCAGTCGGTTGAGCGTCCGACTTCGGCTCAGGTCATGATCTCACAGTTTGTGGGTTCTGGCCCCGCATCAGGCTCTGTGTTGACAGCTCGGAGCCTGGAGCTGCTTCGGATTCTGTGTCTCGCCCTCTCTCTGTCTCTCCCCCACTCACACTCTGTCTCTGTCACTCAAAAACAAATCAATGTTAAAAAAAAATTTTAAAGAAGCCATTAAACCCAAAATAAGCGGGAAGAAGAAAACCGTAAAGAAGAGAAATCAATTAAATGGAAAACAGGGAAACAATAAGGGGAAAAAAATCAAACAGGTGTTTCTTTGAAATGATCTGCAAAATTGATAAGCCTCTGGGTAGACATCAAGAAAAAAGAAGAAACAAATGACCAGTATCGGGAATGAGAGGAAGCATCACTACATATCTTACAGACCTTAAAAGAATAATAGAGTACACGTCATGGACACTTTGTTCAGCAAAGTACCAGCAAGTCAGATCCAGCGATATATGAAACCTACACCATGACCCAGTGATGCTTGTCTCAGGAAGGGGAGGCTTGGTCCACCACTCAAGGTCCATCGTGTAGTCCTCCCTGTCTCCTTCATTATCAAAGCAAAGGAGAAGAATCCTGTAGTACTTTCATTAGACGAAGAGAATAACATTTGATAGAATTCAAAATGCCCTCATGCTGATAACTCAGGGAACAAGGAGTGAACTTCCTTAACCTGATAAT